TATTGCGCCCCGAGCCCGCGTCAGGCGGGCATCCTCCGCGCGGAGCCAGGCTGCTCACCTTGCTGCAGGTCCTGCTGGTCGTACCAGGGCTCATCCTCGCGGATTTCGAACTCCTCCACCAGGCTGTCGGCCAGCATCGCGGCCCCCCGAGGGCTCCTCGCGCTCACCGACAAGCCTGGCGCGGGGCGAGCCGGGGACCGTTCAACTCCTTTAAAGCCGCGGCCGGGCGCCGCGCCCCCCCCCCCCCCCCAGGCCGGGCCCGGGGCCGCAGCCGGCAGCAACGTGGCATCGGCAACCGCCCTTTTACTACAAGGAGAACGATTATTCAAAACGGGCACTCTGACCTCCCTGCCGGACAACCAATCGCACGCCGCCGTTAGGGGATCGACCGGAACGCCGCCCAATCAAGCGTTGAAAGCTTCCACTCAGCCAGTGGAGTGGGGGGAAAGGTGGGTTTGGGCCGATTAAGTTCCGCCCCCCGAGATAGGTGCGCAGCCTCCAGCCGGAGGGCGGAGCTAAGGAGTCGGTCAGTACGTGCTGGAGGAGGGGGTGTTGGAGTGGCTGTCAGGGGTTAATTCCCGGGAGTAGGTTCCTGGGCTGGAGGAGGGGGAGTTGAGGAGAAATAGGGGTTGGGAAGGATGGGAGCCGGGGCTAGGCGGGCTGCAGCACCCCAGGTTTACAGTCTGGGTCAGTTGCTATCCCCACTATAAAATAGTTCCAGCGCTCGTAGGCGGTGGGCATGGTGAAGTACAGAGAGGGGTGGGGCAGCTCTGAAGGGGTAGGAATGGGAGAGGAGTACAGAGGGATGGGGGAGCTGTGGGGTGGGACAGGAAGGGGGAGCTATAGTGGGAGGGTGGGAATGACAGCGCAGTACAGAGAGTTAGGAACAGGTGAGTCCAGGGGGCTCATAGGTGCATGCTGTTAATAGTCCCCGAAGTGATCTCTGTCTGTGTGTGGTCCCTAAAGCATCCTGGGGTCTAAAGGTATCAATGCTTGGTTCTGTTCAAATGCTTCCAAACAGCATTGCTTTCTGCAGCCAAGTGTTTTTATGGCAAGCTTATCTCAGGCCACAGTGAAGCATGGTAGTAGCTGCTTCCATGTTTGAAAATAATTATCCGAGACAATACCTAGAAATTATGTAGTACTTTGCAAAAATTAAAGGTCTATGAATGAAAAGAAGGGTAATCTTTATCCCACTTTACAGATGGGGAAGGATGGGACTGTGGGAGAAAGGAAGAATGATTTGCCCAACTCTACAGAGAGCGAAGGTCTCCAAGCTTCTAGTTCAGTGAACTGTCCACTAGATCCTTCTGTGTACTCATTGTCAAGCCCAGTTCTCTGGTGTTAAAAAGGAACAATCCTTGGTAACTCTTAGAAATTGGGTACTCTAACAGTTTGTAAAGGGGGACATTGTTTCAAGTATTCACCTTTCTGCTTATTCATAATCATGCAGATGTTTTTCCCTTCCATTTGCAGTTATGTCTCTACCAATTACAGTAATTGTTTACATCAGAAAGCATGGGTTTGTAGCTACATTTTAATGTGTTTAAAAGATGCAGGGGGGAGACTGACCAGACAGTACTGAAGACCACTAAAAACTGCCCAATTGACTAGTTCAGGAACTCCTGCAGTCTGTAGAGCATGGTGTCTGTTAGCACAGCTTGAACTAGGGATATAATAGTATAGTCGATTAACTGATTGAAAGCTATAGGTTAATGCTGTAGACTGCATGCATTTCCCTCTTCTCCTCTCTCTGCCAGTAAATTTTTAGCAGCTTGGCCAGTAGCCCGGCTCAGTCCTGGCTTTCAACGGGTCCAGGACCTACCCCTGCTGCAGCTCTGCATTTAAAGTGTATTAGGAGCTGAGCAAGCAGGCAGCCCGGCTCAGTCCTGGCTCACGCTGGGTCTGGGACCTACTTCCATTTCAGCTCTGCATTTCAAGTCTATTAAGAGTCGGGTGGGCAGGCAGCCCAGCCCAGCCCAGCTCAGTTCTGGCTTGCGTTGAATGCAGGAGCTCAGACCCCACCCCCTAGACAGGGACTGCTGCCACCCTCTGTTGCTGCTTCTTTCTCAGAAGCAGCAGAACAAGGTGACAGGTAGCCAGTCTACAAGGGGAGCTGTTTTTTAAACTGGCTCCCCTCATGGACGACCTCTTACCTGGCACACTGTGCTGTTGCCTCTGATCCAGTAGCTGCCAACCCCCTTCCCTGAGGTCAATAGCATAGTCAACTAACTAATAAAATTTCATGAGGTTACTTGACTATTCAGTTAACCCAGGGGTGGGCAATAATTTTTGCCCATGGACCACTTCAAAAAATTTTGAAGTAGCCCCAGACCACCCTGGAAGGGGAGGGGTCTAAACGGAAAGAGCGGAGCTACCCCACCCCCAGGCCATGATTGGTTTAGGGGTGGGGGAGCCCCTTTTCCCCTCCCTACTAGGCACCCATGCCCTGGAAGAGGTTTGGCACACTTCTCCGCCTCCAGGCCAATCAGAGCCTGGGGGCGGGGAAGTGCTCGAAGCCTCCTCCTGCCCTACGAGGAGCATGTGGCACTTTGAAGTGCTGCGGGCTCCTCACAGGGCCAGGACAGGGTGAAGAAAGCTTCACACAGCTCCTCCCCTGCCGTGTGAGCAGCGCATGGCGCTTCAAAGCCCACATGCTCCTGGTAGGACGGGAGTAGACTTGGCGCTCCCCTGCCCCCAGGCTCTAATTGGACTTGGAACAGGGGAGCAGCACGGCCTATACAGACCAGATCCAGCCCGCAGAGGCCCTTTTGCCCAACCTCTGAGTTAACTGATACTTAACATCCCTAGTTTGAACAAGGCTTATTATTTCCATTTGTAATCCATTTTCATTTCTCTACCTGTGTACTAGTTTTCTTTTACTCTTGGTCATTGTTTCTTGGAAAGTAGCAAGTAATAATCAGAATGATTGCTCTCTGTAAATAAATCAGAGGGATTAAAAACTCCTCTCCCACTGATAATTTAAACTAAGTGCCAATATAGGCACAAGAACACATGATTATAGCTTGCCAGCCACATGGTTAGTCTTGAAATTAGATGAAATTAGATGTAACCATCAGAGGATCGGAGTGAAATTCTAGAACAGTCTTCCAAAGGAAGCAGTAGGTTCAACTAACTGACTTGAAGAATGTGCTTGATAAGTTTATGAAGGGGATGGTATGATGGGACTGCTAAGATGGCATGTGTCCCATTGAAGACTGCCAATGGCAAAAATCTGCAATTGATGGGAATGAAACACTGGATAGGGAGAACCCAAATAATTATTTTTCAGGTATCTGCCTAGGACAGTGTTTCTTAAACTGTGTTCCGTGGCACACCGGTGTGCTGTGAAGCAGTCGGAGGTGTGCCGTGGAGAACAGAGTTCAAAATGGCCACCCTTAAAGGTGACCATTTTTTTTTTCCATTCAATACCTTCTCTCCCTCCTCCCCCCCAACCAAAAGTTTTTGGTCAATAACTCCTCCCCCCCTTTTTTTTTGCTCAACAAAAAAATCCCTAATGTTCCTCATAAAAAAAGGTATTGTTTGGTGTTTCTCAATCTTAAAAAGTTTAAGGAACACTGGCCTAGTAGGCCTTATCCTCTTGCTCATGGTCCAGCACCTGCTTGCTGCACCACTTTCTCTCCTGTAGTTTGGGCCCCTCAGGCATGCCAGCATCCTTACCATGGCCAGTCCAGCAGCAGTGACCATGCTGCCAGTCCCAAGCCTGACCTTCCAGCTTCTGGGCAGAAGGGCCTGCAAATCCCTCTCCCCTTCTCCCCCCAGCCATGGGGGATTGGAGCAGGCGAGGCCCCGGGCACCCTGCATCTCCATCCCACTGAGATGCAACATGCACTGCTGCTACTGTGTCCTGTTGCTGACGAGCCCCCAGAAGCAGTACAAAATGCAACACCTTGTCTCCCCACTCAACCCTCCCATACTGCTCTTCCTCAAGACCTTGCCCCTGCACTACCTCTTACCCCCAATCTTCACCCTCATGTTGCCTCTTCCCTACAAGACCCTGAATCCCATTTGCCCCCCCTTGTGCTCCTCCTCTCCTATTAGCCCTTGTGGGACAACTTGCCGCTGCAGAAGATGGCTTGCGGGTTGGGTTGCGGGTTGATACTGGTAAATGTGATTGGATGCTGATTCACATTTTTGTATCTGCACAGGATTCTAATTATAGGTATTGGTTGACCATCAGAAGAGGAAAAGGAAGGGAAGGTAGAAGGGAATCATACATATTTATAGTATTGCGTAGTTGGTGAGGTGTACTTGCAAGAGGAAGTATGGTACCAACCTTAATATGGAGCACTAGATTCATTGGCCAGCTCTTTAGGGGAATGTACTAGATAAAGTGCAGCCAGTGATTTGAATAGCAATTTCAGATCCTGTATTCCAGATGACCATTAGGTATGGCCCTAGAGTTTGTTTACTTCCCTCATCTGCAAAAAGGTTCACAAACTTTCTGAACCTGAGGGCTCTGTTTTCTAATTTTTGGGGGATAAGCAGTTACAGACCTTGTGCAAAATCAAATTGTATAGATGAGTATATAATGTACAGGTAAATTCTGGGGGCGGAAATCAGAAAAAAGGTTTTAAAAGAAGTCTGATTCACTAGCACTATACCAGAGTATGGGTTTGCACTAGTAGTGATTACAATGAAAGATTGGTGTTTAGGTATATGACTTTTGACAAATGATTAATTTATTCTTTGGTGAACATGTACTATAGGTGTTTTAAGCACTCATATTAAACAGAAATTTCAGGGGTCTCTTAATATTGTAACTGTTGAGAGTTGTGTTTATTGACTCAATTTTATAGATTTTGGTTTATACGTTTTAAAAGTTGGAAAGAGGCTATGAGTGAGAAAGTTGACTAACATGGACTTTAGGGATCCATTCTTGCAGTCCTAATACAGGAAAATCTCCATTTGCTTTTCATTTTGCTAAATAGTAAAACTAAAGTGTGGCATATTGTATCATGGAATTCAGTAGTTCTCTATTAGGACCTGCCCTCCATCCCTAGAGATTGACACCCTGCTTCTTAATTGCACTTTGATGCGGAACATGCTACTGTTGCTATGTGTCATTACTCAGGAGCCCCAGATTACAAATATCAATTGAACTTAGTCAGTCAATAAGTAATTATACGTATTTCAATTGTTTTTCCTTTTTTATAATTAGAAGAAGAAGAAGAGACATTCACAATGTGGAAGATGAAGTTTGGTTTAGGAATTCATCCTAATGCCCTGGCATATTCCATGACCACATTAGGTGCTGGAATGATGAACAGTATCTTTAATTTCTATTATGTTAAACTTTTCTTAAACCAATACAAGATTTCAGAAGTAGCATTTCATCAAGCACAGGTACAGTACATTGGAACATGGATTTGCATATTACTGTGCATGGTATTTGTACCATTACAATGAAAACTCTCCTTCATAGATGATTCAACTATTGACATATGGCAAATATAATTAAATATTTGATCCTAAATAAATTAAAGGTACAGTTGAAGTTTATTGTTAATACTTTAGATTTTTTTTTTAAATCCGTTGTTGGAAGTATGCTTTTTAGTCAGACAAGCTTCAAAATAAAGATTTTCTTTACCAATTTTATGTTCCTGTTCAGCAAAGATTTGTACATATGATTAACTTTACTAGCAGTCCCATGGGGCTGCTATTAGTGCTTAATGTTAAACATAGCCAACACCCTGAAAATCCTTACTTATATGAGCAACCTTACACATGTATATAGTCCCAGTGAATTAAAAGAACCTACTCGTGTTCTCAAACTTACTTGCATCCCTAAGGATTTGACTGATGAAGGTTCATGTGTGTAAGACTTTGCAGACCTGGGCCCTTACGGCTAGATTTTTAAAAATATTGAGGTGGCTATCAATGCAGGTAGATATTTAGTGGTATTTTCAAATGCACGTAAGTGCCAAACACTTGTGAAAATCCCACTAGGTACTGATCTGCATCTGTAAGTATCTAAGTAGAGGTAGAACCTCTCTAGTTCAGCACTTTGTGGTCCCTCAACATCAGCAATCCAACATTATTTTAGTTAGCCAGATGTCTGCTTATTGTGGGTATGGCCAAGTTTCCTATGGTCCCATAAAGTTTGTTTACAGCTACCAGTCCTGCATCTTAATGTTCTGTGCTGTTATTTAGCTCTAAATTATGCCTAAATGTATTCTAAGAGCCTATTAACCAGTGGAAGTGTTGGTAATGCTGCTAGACAATATTGACCTCTTGTGGTTTGGCAAATTCTCTAGTTCAACACTGATCAGGTCCTAAGGGTGCTGGACTACAGAAGTTAAATTTATACCTCTAAAAATCTGGCTCTAGTCAATTTCTATTTGGCAAATTTTCCTGTTTTGTTTTCTAACTAGAATTGTGCATTAAACAAATATGACATGATGTACTTCATTGTTTACACATCACTACAAGTTGGACCTCCCTTGTCCGGCACCCTCGGGACCTGACCTTTGCCAAATGAGGGAATTTGCCAGATATGGGAAGTCCCCTACAACTGGTCCCCCAGGACACTCCACTTCCCTGCAGTTGACTCTGCTCCGGCTCCACAGCCACTTGGCTGCAGCCTGCAGGGCTTGGACTTGGGCTTCTGCCTGCTGGAGCTCCCCGGGACCGAGTTCCCCAGCCACATCTCCCTGCTTCTTGCCCACTTGGGGCTCCCCAGAGATGGGGTTCACACTCCCAGGTGCCAGGTATTTCTGATCCAGCAACATCCGTGGTCCTACCAGACCACGGACGTTGCTGGACCAGAGAATCCTGGATTTTGGAGGTTTAACCTATATTTCCAAATCTCTACTAACTGAAGATAGTTTAATTTAATGACTCTACATAAAATAGTGTGTGTGTGTGTGTGTGTGTGTGTGTGTGTGTGAGAGAGAGAGAGAGAGAGAGAGAGAGAGAGTGTGAGAGAGAGAGACATTTCCCATCATGCAGGGAAGCACTTTTGTTGTTCCGTATGTTATGTATGTCTTGGGGAATCCTAAAGAAAAAATATCACTAATGAGGAATTCTGTGTTTTTCTTCTCAGGTAGTTTTTATGATTTGGAATGCCATTAATGACCCTCTCTTTGGGTATATTCAAGACAACTCCAAAGTCCCATGCTGCTCAAGACGTCAGTTTTCAATTTTATATGGAGCACCATTGTACGCTTTAGCTTTTCTACTTCCCTGGTTTCCTTGGAAACATTATCAGGAAGGTGATTGGCTTAATGGTCTTCACCTTATTGTTGCTTTATGTGCTTTTGATGGCTTGCTTACATTTGTGTTGCTAGCACAATGTGCGCTTTTTGCAGAAATTTCGACAAGACATGAAATTAGGCTTCAGCTTATTAAATATAACCAAGTGGCAACATTAGTTGGATCAACCAGCATTCTTTTTTGTGGTCTAATATCAGATAATATGGAAAATTTTGCCTATTTTCAAACCTTTACTGTTTTGGTTGCAGGACTAGCAACTGCTTGTATGTGTTACACTGGCTTATATAGCACTAGTCAGTATGAACAGAGAGAAACGCCTGTGGAAAACACTAGCTTAGAAACTAATGATAAAGCTCTCTCCTGGTCTTCTGTAATTTCATTAACCAAACAGATAATGACACAGAAAAATTTTATACTTTTTGTGACCATGAACTTCTTCCAAGTCTTCCACCTCGCCTTCTGCAACAATTTCATGATGATCTTTGCGGATAATCTCATCCCTAGAGATGTCCTTTCCTCTTTTATAAGAAGCATCATATATGGGGCTGGCTTTATTTGTCCTCAGGTATGCAACAATGTTTTTAATCTTTCATTTAAAAGGAAAATGCAGTTTACTTTATGCTAGTTCTTAATTGTTTACACAGCTTGGAGCAAATGCTTTATCTGGAAGAAACCTTTTATCAGTTTTAGGAATAAATCTGTGAACCCACATTATAAAAATAACTTAATATTCTAGTCCGTGTAGTCTAGCCAAAGAGGGAGCATAGGATTGCAGAAGGAGGGGGAGAGAAGGCAGATGAAATAACAGTGAACAAGCAGGGAAAGTAAATGTTTTTTGTTTCAATATTTAGGATGTAGGGCTTAACAACTTAGAGTAAGAGAAGGAAATGGGCTTAGTACCAGGAAAAAAATTCCTAAAAGTGATATCTATTGAACTTGGTGTTAGTTTTTTCATTTAATGTGTCTGTGGTGAGAGAATCCCCGTTGCTTTTGGATATTTAAAACTAGATGGATTGAAGGTTGGAAAATTAAATGTTAGGTATAAACCCTCCTACATCCCTTTCAAAACTGAACACTATTTGCATCATTATGGAAATTGATGAAGGGGTCTAGATGGCTTAACAAAACAAGGTCCTTCAACAAACCTACATTTGAGGGAATGACATCTTCTAACTAACTTTTTCATTCATTCATTAACTGCAAGTAGAAGGTGAGCAAAATCCCATTCCAAGAGAACTAAATATGATTTGTTCTGGAAAGGAAAGAGGACCAAAAGGGTTAGATATGAAGGGAAAGATTAGGACAGCAATGGGAGAGAAGTGAGAGGAAAAAAATATGAAAAAGGTACCACACAGAGAAGACAAATGTGACTGTTTTTAAATAAAATCCTTTTACTCATGCCCTCCTAAAAATTTGTATAAGGCTGGTCTTTAAAAACTTTCCATAAACTTATTTAAAAAATTTATGGTTTGATTTTTCTCAGTGATCATCAGCAGCAGACAATATATGGGTGTTTAGCGTACCTGGCACTTCGGAAAATCAGGCAATACATTTTTAATATGAACAACTTATTGTGTTCTTTTTATATAAATTAATGCAAAATAAAAGGAGACACGGGCAAGTACTAGTTTAACCACAGCTAGGAATCTGATATAGTTTAAGCTTTTGTTGACATACAGCAATGAAATACAACTAATATATTTTCTTTGCTGCAGAACTTGTAAATATTTACCATTAAAACTCCCTGTCTGTACTCCTACTAAAGATTTTACAGATCTGTTTTGTAAGGATACGACTACTTAGCGTGGCTATTTTATCCTGAAGTAGCTACTCCACATCTTAACAAGCTGCCCATTATTTTGAAATATTTTTTGAAAGAACAAGTGCACTATTTCGGCATCCCTGTAACCGTTGTTCCACAAGGGTTAAGGGAGATCTCAAAATAGGGCTTCTTTTTTTTAAAATTTGGCACCGTGTAGACATAGAAATAGAATCAAAATAAGATATGCAATTTGCATAGCACAAATTGCATATCTTATTTCAAGTTTAGGGTGCTGTGTAGAAGCACCCTAACTGAAGAAAACATCTAGGTAATAAACTTCTATAGGAATATATCTGACAGAACTACAGAAATTAGGACAGCCTCAATAGCTTTATAATCAATACAATCATGGCTGATAAAATCAACCTGACAATCTTTAATGAAAAATATTTAAGAAGGCACATTTCTCTCTGCTTCCCAAAGATTCATTCTTCTTTGAGTGATTGTTCATGTGCATTCCAATGAGGTGTGTACGTGCAGTGTGCACACGCTGTCGGAAGTTTTTCCCTCAGCAGTATCCTTACGGCCAGCAGGTGAGCCCCCTGGAGTGGCACCGGTATACCGGCCCATATATACCCCTGCTGGCCCCCTCACCCACTCAGTTCCTTCTTACCACCGTGATGGTCCTTGGAACAACCCTCAGCTCTTTACAGCGATCGTTGTCTTCAGCATTGTTCTTCTCATTCTTTCAATTAGTCTCCAGCTAAGTAGCTGCAAATGAAGTTCAAGACACTTTTGTTATTTTTTGTTTAGTGACTCCCCACTGTGGTGTGCCGTGCGCCCACAGAAGGGCATGCCCAGTCCACAAGGCTTTAAGTCCTGCAAAAAGTGTCATGGGCCTATGCCCTGTGGCGATCCCCCATTCATTGTGTTTAAAGTGTCTGGGGGAGGCTCACCTCACAGAAGCCTGCGAGATCTGTAAGGCCTTTAAACTCCATACTAAGCATGAGAGGGAATTGTGTCTCAAAATCCTGCTAATGGAGGCTGCTCTCAGGCCGGCACTGGCATCGGACTGGCACCAGCTTCTCAAAGCGCACTGGCGTCAGTGCAGGACAGTTCTGTGCACCGCACCTCTCCAGCAGCGCAGAGGTCCCGGCACTGGTCCCGGTCTCTGGCACCTCAGAAAAAGAGGAAACCTAACGGGACCAGTTCCTGTCTAGACATGCGCCCTCCAGCAGGGCATGCGGTGCCGATGAGCCCGGGCCTTCCAGGTCAGGCAGACCTTCCTCCCAGCACAGGGAGATCAACCCCATAGAGGACTTCCCTGAGCCCTCCACGCCAGAGGCCTTAGAGGCAGCGAGGGTCCTCATTGACTCCTCTCCCTCTCCTCCTCCCACCCTGACACCCTCCAGGCGGCATGGGAAGAATCAGCACTCGGCCCCCTTTCAGAACATCTGAAGGTCTGGTGCAGGAGGTTGGAGGCCACCGCCCCCCTACCGGTCCTGGCGGCACCGCACGCAGCACCTGCCACTGAGACGCCCTTACTCTTACTGCTACTCCAGAACATGGCACCAGACTCAGTGCGGCACCACCGTTCGGCACTGCTACCGGTCTAGGGGGCCTCGGCACCTACATCTGTGCGGGATGCCCACACTGCCATGCCACCACCTCGGCACCGTGGCAAGCTGGAATCCATGGCCAGACATGCAGTAGCATCAGCTCCACCTTGGTCTGCCTCAGAGTATTCATCTGACTCCAAGGTGGAGTCCACCTGGTCCTCTAGGGGTTCCCAGTCCCATTCGCAGCACCACTCCTGCTCTCAGCACTGCCGCCCTCCTCACCTACACCAACAACTGTAAGAAGGAACTGAGTGGGTGAGGGGGCCAGAAGGGGTATATATGGGCCGGTGTACCGTCGTCACTCCAGGGGGCTCCCCTGCTGGCCCTAAGGGTACTGCTGACGGAAAATCTTCTGACGGCACGTACATGCTGTGCGTACACACCTAATTTGAATGGACATGAGCAACACATCTCAAAGAACAACAGTTACAACGTAAGTAACTGTTCTTTATCTAGAGGTCACTGAATTGTATAAAGTTTGCTGTGACCTTTTTTCCCTTGGGTTTTGTTCCTTCAAATTCAAGATACAACAAGAGAATTCCCTGACAGCAGTGTCCTAAGTTCACTTACTGTAAAGCACCCAGCCTACATTAAAGAAAGCAGCTTTGTGGATTATGCTTGTCTTGTCTGTACAAAGCTAGATCACGGCTTCTATTAAAGGATGGCAGTTGGTATATAGGATAGAATGCATATACTGAACCTACCCTGATGTTGCAACCAACAGACTTAAAAATTGAAGCCTAAAGCATCAACTGCGCCAATATTTTTCTTGGAATTAGATGACATTTATTGAAAAACTCCAAGGAAGTTTCCAACAAACCAGAGCTTGAAGTCTTCAGGGCATGCTGATTTTTCTTAATTATGATTAGATGAGGTCTAGTTCATTAAAATAACATGCATTATACATCTGTTACTATTTTCACAAAGTGTCAGATAATAGGTTAATATTTTGTAACATCTAGTTCCAGTCAAATTTGCACTTCAAATTACAGCCACTTGTGTCAATTCCTTGCTTAACCTGCTCATAACTCTGTATGGTTCTCAGTTTTTTAATCAGAAAGCTTGAATTACCTCATAATGTTTGCTGCTATCTTTTTTTAATTATCCTCTTTGTGTGGAGCATTCAAAAATGTTTGCCTTTTTTTTCCTTGTGCTCAGTCTTCAGCCCATTCTGTTGCTAATGACCAGGGTTGATGCCTCATGTTAAAGTAATTAAATATGGGAAGAAAATTGCAAGGGGAGTTCCTTTTGTTAAATGCTTATTGAGTTTGAAATCATTAATCTTGGTGGCTAATATTGAAGAAAGCATTGTTATCTTGTAATTCATGGGAAGTGCTCAAATATGGCAGTTATCAGAACTATATACCTAGGTAAATTGTGTCAATATATTAGAAAAATAAACAATGTACATGCAAAATCTCATCCCATTTGAAAATGGAAAGTGAGGGAGGGAAGAGAAAAGAAGAGTTTAATTTTTGTTCACAACTATTATTTTTGCTGAGGGCCTAACCCTAAACTAGACTGTCATATCTTTTTACAAAAGCAGCATTCTAAGTTTTATTAAAATGCAAGTACCATATCATCAGAAAAACAACTCTATAAAATATCATGGACTTGCATATTTATTCCCTCACAGTACAGAAGAGAGACTGAAAAATTTGTCATGTGTAAGATAACTACATATAGTTGCCTCACCATAGATACTGGGTTTCTTCTACTCATTTACTATGGGGAATATCTTAAATACTGAATTTAGCTTGGTAGAAAACTTTCTTAGTTATGTACGTCAACTGGAAAGTTTGAGTACCACCAATATATTCTTCATTCCTTTTTTATTCAGTTTGTATATGTTTAAACAGTTAACTGATGAGAACTGGGCTCATTGGTTAATCTGCACGGTTACACACAAACCTCCTCCCCACTAGAGTCAGCAGCGCAGGAGGAAGGGGATGGGAGCAGGCAGAAACCTTCACAGGGAGCCAGCTTTTAAGCCTCTAGCAGCAGTGCGGGGGCGGGAGAGAGGCAGTAACACATTTACAAAAGACAAACAACCAAAATCAAAAACACTTTTTAACAATCCCTAGTTTGTAAATCAAACAATTCATTTTCTGTGTACCAACACAATAAACTCAACCTGGTATTTGAAAGTTGAGAGAGATTTTTTTTCTATCTCTTATGACACTTGTAATAAAGATTTTGCTTCTAGAATTTGACAATTTTTCTAATATATGAAATAATTTAATCCAGATGAGTCTGGTTTGCTTTTTAATAGTGATAGACTTTCTTAAGGTGGTATTGTTGCTTGATTTTTCACCCCTGAATCTCAGTTTCTTAATTCAGGTGATAGGGAACTCCTCAAACTTTTAAAGGGTTTTGGCATATAACAATAGCATCTATCTTTGCTGGTACTATTCAGGTTACATAGAGGACTCCACATATGAAAGTCAGTTTTGATCTAAATTGTTTTTGTAGGCTTCATGGTGAAATATTTTCAGACGTAACACTTTAAAATAAAAACAATTCAGACTTTTGTGACCTAATGCATGTGTGGGATTCTAATTAATCAGAAAACACTGAAGTATAATTTTCAATGCTGAATTTATGGATTTGATTCTCTTTAGATTCACATAGCCTTCTTGCTCAACACTTTCAGACTAAAACTTGCTTTAGATTTAAAAGCTAGCACAGTCTGTGACTAAAACATCAGTGTTTTGTAGAAAAATGACACTTTTACTAAATACATTTTTCCAGGTTGTAAATTGGGTAAATTAATGGTTTTCATTAGTGTATGTAGTCAACAGTGAATTACTGGATGTGACACACCCAGCAAACTGAAATGTAATTGTTCCTAGTAGTTTGTATAGATTGTTGCATATTGAAATCTGGAAACTTGAAATGGAACTACAAGTGCTATGCATTTCCAATAGCTTTTTCTATAATAGAAGCAAAACTAGTAATCTGTTACAATGGGATTTCTCAGTGAAACTGTGTTATCAATTACAAAAGTCACACTGAGTAACAGTGGTAGTAGACATTTACCATGAAAGTCCATTGATATCAGAACCATATGATGTTAATGAAAAATTATAGATTTAAAGGGAAACCACCCATTTCATTCAGTCTAGCAAAGTTTAATTGGTAAAAAACTACTTTCACTATGAAGACACTGCAAAATAAATTGCATAAAGGATATCGGGCATTATAGTCTAGGGCAGGGATGGACAATTATTTTTGCAGGTGGAACACTTAATGAATTTTGGTATGTGGACATGGGCAGGCTCCACCCCCCTGGAAGAGGCAGGGCCTGCGTGAAAGGGTCAGGGCTAGGGACTGGCTTCCTCTCAGAGTTGTCTGGGGCTGGAGGCTTTGAATTAAAAACACAGCAAAGGGCTCGCAGCCCTAACGCTGCTGCTAATGTGTTGCCTGGCAGCTGCTTGGGGTTGCTATGGCTATTTAAAGGGCTTGCGGCTCTGGCTCCTGCCAGGGTAACACCGTGACTGGGAGCCAGGAGCCATTTAAATGGGATCCTTCTGCCTGAGCCACCACATAGAAATTCGGTGGCATGGGCAGGAAGATATAAATAGAAAGCAGCTTGATGCAATCTATGGGCCAGATCAAAGTATTAGGCAGGCCAGATCTGGCCCCCAGGCGGCATCTTGCTCATCCCTGCTCTAGGGTATGAGCTGATTTCTATCTGAAATGGGAAGCAACATTTATCCTAATGTAGAATAGTGCACAGACTGATTCTAGGTGAAGGGAGAGCTTTCATCTCTGAAATGTTTATTTTAAAACACTGCCAGAGAGAGGACCAGTAGGATGGTCCTATCATCTGTTCTATTTATGCAATTCCTATACTCTTAATTTATGAGTGCATTTGAAAATGCTTTTGATTGATTTCCCCTTTCAGAAAATATGCATGTTTGCTAATCAGTAGAAGTACCATACAGCTGTAAAACATTTACAGCCTCCAAGACTATTTTATTTATTTTTTAAGAAATCCTCAAGTACTATATTGTTTTTTCAGTGCCTGGTGCTTCTCAGTCATACTCTGTTGAAGAAGTTTGGTTATTACAGGATCATCTTGTTTTCCTTTTACTTAGAAGGAATAGCTGCATTTGTTATGCTTGTTCTAGGAAAAGAACACTACTACCTGCTAGCTATTTATCTTACAACAAACATGTAAGTAAATATATATCTTCAAGGATACTATTTTTTTTAAATTAACAGTTTTCTATGTCTTGTGATAAAAGTCTGTTAAGTCACTTTTCTTTGTTTTTATGCCTTTTTTTTTTTGTCATACCCCTTTTGGTAGCTTGAAGAATTTCCTACTACAAGTGTTGTTCTCTGCAATTAAAAAGGCAATTCTTGTTTAACAGTTTAAACTTTTAGGTATTGCTTTTAATTTTCTTTTAAAAATTAACAGTGTAATAAATACAGTAATTAGAGTTTGCAGGATTGACTCCATCCAGGTCACTTTTTTAACATTGGTCAAACACAGATTTAATTAATACAGATTTTCCATTTACCCCCATGCAGTAGTTTCCCACCCCACCACTTCAAGTAGTGTCCTAATCAGTGTTTGTACTGTGGATGTATCTGAACCCCTATGCCCCAGATGGGCAATTTTAGGTAGCACTGTCCATATGGCCCACACATGCACTCTCCCTGTCTCATGCCTTGATGGGAGGATATCTAGCATTGTTGGTCAAATTGCTCTCAGTTTCTTCTCAATTGCCCTTGGCCTGAGACTGAATATAAGCAAAGTGCTAGAGACAGCTCAGTTCTAAACTTTATTTTACAGAATAGCTAATAGAGTTTCCAATATTCCTATTTTTCCTTTTTTGTTTTAATATTGAAAAAAATAAAAGATTTTAGATTTCCCCCGGTCCACAAAAATGCTGGCAATTCAGTGATTGTTGACTAAATAACATGAAGTTTCTTTTATTTGGTACTGCTGTTGCATGAAGCCTCAAGGTATTTCACAGAACAGGTAGATCAGTGAAATGTAGAAAACCCTCAAAAGGATCTGCTTTATTAAACATTTTTTTTAAAATAACTTTCTAAACTTGAATATAGAATGGCATTAATGTCATGGTCTTCCCTTCCTACCTTTCCTATCCTCTTTGCATATACTTATTTTCCCCCTTTCTTTCCAGGATTTCAGTCATTTGTAACTAAGAACTATGTGGCAATTGAGTTACGTTATCCAGTAATATATTTTCCTAATTTCAAGTATTCAGGTTTCCTTAGGGGAAAAAACCTCTCAAGATACTCAAGATATGCAAAGGCTATTTAATTATTAGCTGCTAGCCCAAAAAATCTTTTGTAATTTGAACCTAACTTTACCAAAACTTAGCAATATGTGCAAATCTATCATCCTGTTTATTGTTTCATTTGGTTCTATTGGTCATGTGTTAAATGTGGTTGTTTTTTTTACGTTTATCATTCCAATCCTGTCACTTGTTTTAAGCTTATTTCCTGTCTTTCCTTTCCAGTCCTCTGCATGTCCTTTCTCAGATTTCTAGAGGAAAATTTCAGTTCTTCTGAGATGTTCCTTTTCTACATTCAAGTCAGTTTAAGTTGGTATTAATAACTTCAACAAGTGTCTTTCATCTTTCACTTCAATGCAAGCTACTATTTTGAAATTCCAGAAAGAGTTGAGAAAGTTTTAGGTTTGTATATAGGTTTCTAATTCTTGGTTAAAATAACAGTGCTAATATTTCTTTGGCGAATGGATCATTAAACAGACCTAATAGCCATTTTTAATGTGAAGCAGTAATACTGTGTTAATGTACATGATGAAAGTGAAAGTGTGTATGAGAGAGAGAGAGAAAATTAAGCCACACACCTGCTAAACCATCCATTACAATTTTCTTATTGAGAAAAGTATGTTGAAAACATATCAACATTTTTGAAATATTTTGTCTTTCTACAGGGTAATTGTTCAAGCGTCATTCAGTTTGTTTAATCTGCCCTTGGCAGATATTGTTGATGCAGATTTTATAAAACACAAAAG